GCATGACTTGAAGTACTTACTGATGAAGATTGAAGACTACAGTCTGCAGTATGGATTACATCTCAATAAAAAGAAAATGAAAATCCTTACAATTGGACCAATAAGGAGCATCACGATAAGTAGAGAAAAGATCAAAATTGTCAAAGATTTCACATTACATGGTTCCACAATCAACACCAATGGAAGCAGCAGTCAAGGCATCAGACAATGTATTGCACTGGGCAAATCTGTTGCAAAAGACCTCTTTTAAGTGTTGAAAAGCAAACATGTCTCTTTGAAGACTATGGTGTGCCTAACCCAAGCCATGGTATTTTCAATCACCTCATATGCATGTGAGAGCTGGACAATGAATAAGGAAGACTGAAAAAGAGTGGATACTTTTGAGTTATGGTGTTGGCAAAGAATACCTAAAGCATCATGGACTGATAAAAGAACTAACAAATCTGTCTTGGAAGAAATGCAGCTGGAGTGCTCTTTAGAAGCAAGAATGGTCAGACTTCATCTTACCTACTTTGGTCATGTTGTCAGAAAGGACCATTCTTTGGAAAAGGATATCATGCTCAGTAAAGTGCAGGGTCAATGAAAAAGGGAAAGGCCATCAATAAGTTGGAGTGACACAGTGGCTACAACAATGGGCTCAGGTATAGCAATGATCATGGGGCTGGCACAGGACTGGGCAGTGTTTCGTTCTGTTATACATAATGTCTCTATGAGTTGGACCTGACTCTATGGCACCTAACAACAACAACAACATATGATAAAATCTTTTAATGAATTTGGAATGGAAGAAAATATTCTTAACTAGTAATAAAACAGCTACAAAAATCCTTCAGCAAGCATGAAACATCATATTCAAAGCTTTCCTTTTGCATTAGAAACCACACAAAATGCCACTTATTAAAGAAGATAAAAATACAGAAAGAATTATACCATGTTTTAAATTAAAAGACAATACCATAAAGATATATGTTCTCCTCATACTGATCTATAGATGAAATGTTGTCCAAATTAAAATCCCAACAAGAATTTTTGGGAGGAACTTGACAAATTGAATCTAAAATATATATGAAAATGCAGAGGCTTAAGAATGGCCAAGAGCTCTTGAAAAAGGTAGGAAGACTTACTTTATCAAATGTCAATATTTATAATAATGCTGTTATCAAGCCAGTGTGATAATGGTGCAAATGTAAACAAGTAGACCTATGAAGCAGAATTTAAAAAAACAACAACCCATTGACATCAAGTCAATTCCGACTCATAGTGTCCTATAGGACGGAGTAGAATTACTCCGATAGGGTTTCTAAGGCTATAAATATTCACAGAAGCAGACTGCCTCATCTTTCTCTGGCATAGTGGCTGACGAGTTTGAACTGCGGGCATTTTGGTTAGAAACCTCATGTCTTAACCACTGCAACATTAGAGCTCTTATGAAACAGAATCCAAAACAACAAAAACCAAACTCACTGCTGTCAAGTCATATCTGACTCATAGTGACCCCTCATTGGGTTTCCAAGGTGGTATCACTACGGAGGTAGATTGCCCAACCCTCCTTCTGAGTAGTGGCTGGTGGATTTGAACCACCAGCCTTCTGGTTAGCAGTCAGATGCCTTAGGCACTGTGCCACCAGAGCTCCTATGAAACAGAATAAGAACCTTAAAATAGATCCACACATATACAGACCCTTGATTTATGATGTATGTGGCACTACAATGAGGAAAGGACAATCTTTCAGTAAATGGTCAATAGGACATACATGTGGAAAAAAGAAACTCGGCACCTCAGTAATATCCCCAAAATCATTTCCAGGTATACAACTGATATAAATGTGAAAGATAAACCATATAGCTTTTAGAAGACAATAGAAATATATCTTCATTTCCTGGAAATAGAGACAGATTTCTAAAATAGGACACAAATAATGACTAATGTTAAAGGAAGAGATTAACAAATTGTCCTACATTCAAATTAAGAACATCTCTTTATCAAAGGTTATCACTTATAAGTGGCAAAAGCAAACCACAGAATGGGTATTACTGCCAAAATAATATATAAAGAGTCTCTATAATCCATTAAGAAACAAAAAAATCAGAAATTCAAAGGAAAAAAATGCACAAGAGGTGCTTTAAAAAAGAGCATATTAATATGGGTAAAAAATGTATGAAAAGTTGTTCAACTTCATTAATAATTATGGGGATGTAGAAGAAAACTATATTAAGACACATCTAATAGAATGGATGTCCAACAACTGAGGAATGGATAACCAAACTTTGGTACATTCACACAATGGAATACTATGCAATGCTAAAGAATAATGTAGAATCTGCAAAACACCGCATAACGTGGATGAACTTGGAGGACATTATGCTGAGCGAAATAAGTCAGTCACAAAAGGACAAATATTGTATTAGTCCGTTATTGTGAAAGTTAAGGAAAGGTTTATATATTGGAGGACATTTTCTTTGTTGGTTACCAGGGGTGGGAGGGAAGGGGAGGGAATGCTGTTAGATAGATAGAGATAAATATTGATTTGGGTGAAGAGAAGGGCAATGTACCAAATGTGAGTGACCAATATGGCAGCATTGAGGATGAGAAAGACAGAGAGAGTTACATGGGCAGTACAAACAACAAATATGAACCCCTTTGCAAATACAATACTGAGTTGTCAATGAAAGCAAACATGGGTATAGGGACGGATAGATGGGTGAACAAGCTAAACAATTATGTATGTCTAAATGGAGAGTGTATCCAAGATCATATACAGGGTTGGCAGACAATGGGCCTCTCAGGGTGCAGAAGAGTATGAAGGGATGAACACTGGGAGGAGGTAACTATGGGGAGGAAGTGGGAGGGGAGCTGCTGCATTGTAAATTTTGGTCAATGACATGAGACAAAGTATATGTGAACTGCTGTATGAAAAGTGAATTTACTCTGTAAATCTTCACCCAAATCCTAAAAAAAAAAAAAAAAAAAAAAACATCTAATAGAATGGCTAAAGTTTAAGGACTGATAATACCAAAAATTGAGGACAATGTGCAGCAATTAGAACTCTCCTATATTGCTTGTAGAAAAGTAAATTGGCACACCCACTTTGAAAACCAGTTTGGCCTTCTTTAGTCAATTTGAAGATATACATACTCTCTGATTCAGCAATTCTATTCGTAGGTGTATAGCCAACAAGAATAATGTGAGCATATCTATCAACAGCCATGCATATAAATGTTCATAGCTGTAATTGTCATAATATTTCCAAACTGGGAATAGCTGAAAAGCCCATCAATAGTCAACTTAACAATTAAATTGTGGTACATTCATGCACTCATATTCTATAAAGCAATGAAAGTGAAATCGACTATATCTAAACTCAAAGACAGGTTTGAATCTCCTAAAGATAATATTGAGCAAAAGAAACTACACATGAGAAAAAAAAATACCAAAGGATTCCATGTTAATAAAGTTCAATAAAAAGGAAAACTAACTTATATTTTTATCAGTCAGGGTAGTGGCCATCTTTTGGGAAGAAAAGGGGGGTAATGATTGGAAGAGGGGCATGATGAGATCTTCTGGGGGTAATGGCAATGTTTTTTTTTTTTTTCCCCTCCCCTGATCTGGGTGATAGTTTTATGGCATTGGAACATTCAACACTGAAAGATATAATTTTTCCTCAAACAGATCTATAGCTTCAATGCAATCCTAAGAGGATTTTTTTTTTTTTTTTTTGGTGGAACTTGAGAAGCTGATTCAAAAATATATAAGAAAATCCAAAGCACCAAGAATAGCCAAAAAACAAAACAAAACAAAACAAAAACCCAAACAAAGCTCTTAAAGAAAGGCAAGGGAGGAAGACATGCATTACCAGATACCAAGATGTGGGCTTTGGGATAAGTCACTGAGCTAACATACTTTGTGTACTTTTTGTGTATGTGTTACACTTCACAGTGAAAAAGAGAGAGTGCTAGCAGCATGGGACAGAGTTGACAGGGAAGGCGCCATGGTAAAGATGAACATGGTTACCTAAATGTATAAATGCATTGGAGCTGGAGGGTTGTGCTCTGGAGTGTCTCATATACTTGAATCAAGCTTAGTTCTCAGCTGGGATCATGGGCTATGTAATAAACCTTCCAGGCCAGTAGGGGGCAGAAGAAATAAGAGCATTGTCCAAGAGTCCATCTCCTGGTTATCAGAAATGTATTTATTGTCATCTGAGGCAATTTACCAAGGTATTAATCAAGCTTTCATTACCTTTGTGTTCTTTATTTCAGAATTTGCCTCCTTCCACACCCCGAATGGCCAAATTCTAGAGTGTACATTACCTAGAATTGCTTTCTGGCTGAAACACTATAATATCCCTACATTTACTACCATTTGTTTTAGCTTCCCTCCCTCCTATTTCTAGCATACCTGCTCTTCAACTTCATCCTGCCTCTATTTTGTTTTTATCCTTCTCTTTTGTTTCAGTCTTTCAGCCAACAATCACTCCCCCACTGTTCCACTTTCTTCCATTTCCAGCCTACATATCTCTAGCCAGAATTCTCAAGATTCTGTTTCTTTGTCCCTATAGCTCTTACAAGCCCCTAAACTTGGATCAGGTCAATCACATCACTCCTTTCCAAATCTTCCCCTCTCTCTTTAAGACTGCACCTTTTTTTCTTAGAGAAAGGAGAGTGTTCGGTAGCGTGGAACCATAGACTCCTAGAATGCCAGAGATGGAAGGAGTCTTACTCCTCATGTATCTCTAGCTTCCTCACACTTTTCCTATGAAGAAAGAGATGGCCAGAAGATTACCTAGTGTTTTCTATTATTTCAAATATTAAATAGTCTCATGTGACACTGAAGGTTAGTGACCTTTTGGAAAACTTTTGTCTTGATTTCTGCTTCCCTATTTTCCCCTGCTCCAGAACCCAGATAGAACCATGGATGTCAGATGTGTGAGAAGAACTGGGCAGGAATCCTACAGGGAAGATGATAGTTTCATCCCAGATAAAGAGAGCTATAAGACTTACACCTGAGCTCTGGACTTGAGCGTAGATAGTAATGCTTTTTGCTTCTGTGGGT